AAACTGGAACTGGGAAAAAACGACACCGCGTGAAAAACAGGGAAGAATAGTTTCATATGCAGAGAGAGATTTTCGTTCGTGTATTGAACTGTTGGAGTGAGCGTCCCCTTATATAGACTGAGTTCTGTCCATTGGAGTCACTGGAGTTACGACATTAACCGTGGCAGTTTCAGCTTTTCAGTTCTAACAATAAACATTGGGAGTTTCTGCAGTTTAGAAACTCAAAAGTTATTGGAGAAAGTCAAAAAAAATTAGCAAAACGTGGGCTCTCCGATGGGGCCATTTTTGGCTTATTCGGTCTGACATTCGTGTGGGCAGGTCAACCCGCACCCAAGTTCGAGGTCCGGAGGTCATTTCGGTTCGTGATTTGCAACCCCTACGCGCGCACGTGGAGAGAGCTTCTATGCTACATATGATTACACATCTCCAAAGCATAGCCATATATAAAGTGGTTTAAGTTTCATTGGTTTTCCTGTGTGGGATAAATGTATTTTTTCCCACAAAATCAACTTTCAATGACCAATTTTGAGCTCCTATTTCTTATTCACCTGAACTTCATTTTTGGCAAATAAATACATGAAATCGATGTTCTCGCGGATGAGAACACATATCAACTTTGATATTCCACATTGGACCAATGGATCCTATCGAAAATTGTGCCAAAAGTGAGCCGCTCACTCAATTTTTTCCCAACAATTTGCACCTTGAGAATAGTCATTTAGTTACATATAAAAATTATGGGAATCTGCCAACAATTATTAATACTATTTATAGACAATAGACAATGTTAACTATATATATATATAATTGAACTTGAACAACAGCTAGCAAACTGTCATATAGATAATTTCCTTAACGTTTTGTATAGGATGTACAACCAAAAAAAAAAAAACCATGGAAATGTAATTGGGAGAATAGTTGTAGCTAATATAAAATGAGAGTGAAAGATATTATTTGCGAGTTTTATTAAATCATATTAGAGGAGCAATGTCCTATAAACAGTTAATGGCATTTATATATCATCTTTTTCTTGAGACAGCTCTTTCACATGCTTTATTAAATAGGAATGGTTATAATGAACTTAGTTTTGTACAAGTTATTATTACTTATCAAATGTTTATTATTACTTATCAAATGTCATCTTCTCTATATTTTAAAGCAAATTGCATAATTTCTTAAGTGCTATGGAAAAGTCCATAACAGGATAAAATGGACATGAAACGCCTAAAATGTGCTTTCCGGTGTACAAAGTAAAGGCTTCATATGTCAAGATTACTTGATTGAGTTGATTAAGCCTACCGAATATCTAACTCTACCTCCGTTGATAACATTTAAGCAGGCTTCATTCCCTATCTTTTTATCCAACTCGAACTCAGTCTAGACCATTCGACTTGGGTAAGGTTCATAACTTCAATTTGCTGATTATGCAATAAAATAAAGATCCATGAATGTTGATATGCTAATTTTCAACCTAAAATAAGTCTTGAATACATGATGTTTGAATTTAGATATCAATTTGATGTTCGTTTGTGAAGTTCAATGTCATGTGTATTACTCGTCTGAACCATGCTAGGTGTACTTGGCGTCCCTGGTACTACAGGGCCAATTTGATCATGTCAGTGGGAATGGGAAGGAATGGGAAATAGAGTCCTCAAATTTTGCATGTGAATGTATGTGGGAAAGAAAGAAAGGGTAATATGTTTGGCCAATCGCCTCATCCTGTTATCAACACTTGCAATGGATTCTACACATCTTGGCACCTAAGGTAAAAGATTTATACAAAAATATTGTGCACTTGACAAGGTGTGCTCCAATCTTCTATGTCATACACCAGGACAGACAAATTAATGGCTCCAATCGTGTCCCAATTGGTCCCTGGGCTTACTACAAATAACTCCTATGGCCAAGACAAGATGTAGTCCAATCATGTCATACATAGAGTAACGCCTCTAAATTCTAATCGCATCCCAAATTTGACTCGTGGACTTATAACTACTTTGATACCCTCCCATTACAAGTAAGTTTCGTTTTGCACACCTTCCTTATAAGAGTTACGTCTTGGTAGTTGATGGAAATTGAATTCTCAAAATTTAGCCCTTGTTTGTCAGCCTTTAATTTATCATAAACCAATTGTTTTCTACATTCTTGCTGGCCCGGCTGTCATGTGCATGGTTATATCACTTCAAAATCATTTGTGCTATTATATTTTGTTTTAAATCTAATGTGTTTTCTTCTAAATCTACCCTTCAACTGATTTATTTTTGGAAGAAGAACAAATAAGGGTAAAGTAGTAAATGTGATGTGCGTCCGTTTGGGCATTTGTGGAACACTTTATTCTCGATGGTTGTCTGCATTAAATACATTGAAAGTACGTTAGATTGATCAAACATAACATAAATTTAATTTAAAATAAATGTCAATTTATAAGTTAAAAGTATTTATTTTAAGGTTTTCAACTTTACATTCTAGATTCAATATTTCAAGAATGTCAACTTGAGATTTCGGTTTCTAATTATCCAATTTGAATTCACTAGTTCGTAGTTTTCAAATCAAAATTTGATGTTTTACATAAGCTACTCATTTTTAATCAAGATTCTGCATTTGATTAGATCTTGAGTTTTATCCTAAATATTCATTAGCCATTTAACCATTTGTTAAAGTCACATTGAACTTACAAAACTATTCTAACAAGCTATAACTTTTTTGCTTAAGATTTGTACACCAACCTTGTCACTAAAAAATTTTGGCCACCCAAACAATTTCGTCATTTTAATTAATTAATTAATTAATTTATTATTATTATTATTATTATTTTTTGTAATTGCACCCAAGTAAGGTCATTATCGACCTCAAAAAATAAATAGTATTTTCCAATGTTTTCTAGAGTTAACAATGTAATTTTCTACTTCAATCTCAACAGGATTTTCTAAAACAATCTTGTTACATGTACACTTTCTTTAACATTAAATTTGACATTGTGCCACTTGTTATACAACAAATGACTAATTTTAAAATGAAAAACACTTTCCCGCCCATACATTTTTGAATTTGCAAGTAATGTCAAACTCCATGTACAACATGAAGTCTACAAGGAGCATTATTCTTTCTAAAATTCCGGGAGGAGGGGGTTGTGTGTGTTTGTAAGCCAATTTTCGTATGTGAGAGATTGATATTCCAACATTATTTTAAGTGGAGATTTTTTTTTTTAATTGAAGATATTCTTTCAATTCCTGAGAGATTTGATGCCAAATATTATTTTAATCTGAAGCAATTTTTTTTTTTTTATGAGAGATATTATTTCAATCTCAAAGTGTTTAAATTGAAAATTAGACCTCTTTTTTTATTATCCAATGGTCTATTTAATTTATGAGGACATTCTAGTTATTTTGGTGAGTTAACATTCTTCATCTTTACATTGAAAGTAATGATTAGTTGAATTTTCAAAACTTATAGATAATTGTGCTTCCGTGACATTTGTCATAAAATTCACTTTTCGCACACTGAGGCTTAGTGTGCGAACATTGAAGTTGATTTGTTATATTTCGCATTGAACTTTCTGTCTAGGTTCAAGGCTATTTGATACCTCTAACTCTGTCTCTGGCGAAAGCCTCTAATCATATTTTCGACCATTTCTTCGTTAAACGTATGCCTCGAATATCATAGTACAAATATTCAAAGACACATGAGCACGCGATGAAGTCCCTTTTGTGCCTCACTTGACATCAAAATGGACAATAATAATCTCTGTAGTTAATAATTACTAATGTAAAGTCCTCCATAATTGATCACATTTCAAGTTCATCCTCTAATTTAAGCTACAAATTGAGATTGCCCTTTTTACACGGCCTAATTTTCCAAATTCACGCAGTCATGCGTAAGTCAAAAGAAAGGGAGTAGAGCAAAGAAAATAAATAAATCAAATCAAATCAAAAGTATAATAATAAGCCAGTATCTAGTGGTACGTTACTCTGTATAAATAATAAATAAAAGAGTAATTTTAGCCTCCATTTGATTTTCATTCTTTGACTACAAAAATGAAGAATATGATTGTTACCAATCACATCAAGTTGTTATATTTGATTTTTTTATCGCTTGCGTGGATTCCATAATGAATATGTTTTTCATTCTCATTAAGAAAAATAGGATGGAGCTTTCTGTCTAGGTTCAAGGCTATTTGATGCCTCTAACTATGTCTCTGGCAAAAGCCTCTAATCATATTTTCGACCATTTCTTCGTTAAACGTATGCCTCAAATATCATAGTACAAATATTCAAAGACACAAGAGCATGCGATGAAGTCCCTTTTGTGCCTCACTTGACATCAAAATGGACAATAATAATCTCTGCAGTTAATAATTACTGATGTAAAGTCCTCCATAATTGATCACATTTCAAGTTCATCCTCTAATTTAAGCTACCAATTGAGATTGCCCTTTTTACACGGCCTAATTTTCCAAATTCACGCAGTCATACGCAATCAAAAGAAAGGGAGTAGAGCAAAGAAAATAAATAAATAAAATAAAATCAAAAGTATAATAATAAGCCAGTATCTAGTGGTACGTTACTCTGTATAAATAATAAATAAAAGAGTAATTTTAGCCTCCATTTGATTCCCATTATTTGACTACAAAAATGAAAAATATTACCGTTATCAATTACATTAAATCATCATATTTGATTTTCTATTTCTTGCATGGATTTCATAATGATTATGTTTTTTATTCTAAAAATGGGATAGAGTTTAGAGGGTGTTTGTGAGACATTTTTATATAAAAATGCATTTTTGAATAGTAAATTGATGAGAAATGTGTGGTTGAAAAATAAATTTTTTTTTTTAATTTATGTGTAATATTATTTTAATAAAAAATATATGATTGAAAAGAAGAAAAAGAAAAATGTATTTTAAAAAAAATAGGTACCAAACGGATCTTAATGTATACCAAAATTAAAATTTGACAGTCGCTACCGATAAATTTCACAAAACACAGGAATATTATTTCGTCTACTTCGTAGACTTATGTCATAGGTACCACTTATTACATACACAGTCCTCTCAAAACCCTAGATATTTTTATATCAACGGAGGCATCTTTTCATACGCAGATTTTTCTGTCGCTTGATATCTTGAAATATCTCTCGCAGATTCAACTTTGTATGCAAGGTAATTTTCTCATAGATTTTACTTATTATCTTTTTGTTATTTTTCTGAAGAATTTACTAATTTGTTTGGAATATAAATATCCAGATCTGTTTTTCCGTACGGACCTGTTTTGTGTATAGAGGTTTTCTACTTTTGTTTTGTGCCTTAAATATTTTGTATCGAAAAATTGAAGCTTGTCTGCTCCTCTTCCCCCCTTTTCTTTTGCTGGGATTAGATGATTGAATGCTGGATTTACTATAGGACTTTTTTTTATTCAATTAAAATAAGAAATTTTAAAATCTCACTTTTTGTTTTGACTATTACGTTCTGTTCCTCGAGAATAAATCGGCTTTCAGATCTGGGATTTTAGTGTAGTCAATCTTTTATCAATGGAAAAATCTCATAGATTTAATATTTACTACTTTTTATATGTTCTTGATTTGCAGTCTGAAATTTTTTGGATTCTGTTATGAAGAAATAGTAGGGTGGTATTTGAGTGAATTGAATTGCAGAGCAATTTTCACCCGTAAAAATGCAATAACAACCTGTAAGAAGTTGTGTGCTGAAACATTTTTACTTCTTGAGGCGAGGCATAAGCCTAGAGGACAGTTGAGTTGTAAGCCTAACACAAAAATAAACATGTAATAAACCACAAATCATTTTGAAATTCGAAATTTCTTAACACCCAAGTAAATCAATAAAACTGAAAATACTTCCGCTGCTGGAGTTTATACAATGCTTCCGGTTGATATCAGAGCAAAGAAATTAAATTAGAAAATGAGACCAGCTGAATGAAAGGAAAAAAAGATTAAAGAAAACTTACCAGCTGTAGTTTTGAGACACTGCTGGCTGCTGGAATCTTGTGGGAGAAGCTTCATTGGTAGAGGTGTGGAGCAGGGGAGTTGTTTTAAGTTTTTAAAATTTTTCTGTCTTGGGTTTTGATTAATATTAACTTTGGTTTAGTCAAACAAGAAAAGGTAGCGGTGGGCCCAATTAAAAATGCTGTTTGGAATTATAGTTTTATTTAAAAATACTTAAAATTCACAGCAAAAATTAAAATTTCTGGGCATCATGTTCGTTGAGTCATCCGCCTCAATAAGTGGTATAAAAACCAGTGCCTCAAGGCACTGGTCTTGTACTTCAGGCACTGGTCTTGTACCTCCTTGAAGTACCTCCTTGAAGCACACCTCAGTGGCACCTTTTTAAAACATGTGCAAGAATTTATGCGTTGCAGTGGTGGCATGTGCATTTAATTTAGTGTTCAGAGCTGACTTTCAAGTTGGGAGAATTATCTATTTGTCCACTTTTTAAGATTTTGCTATAATTAATTCCAGGGCTTTTCAGCTAACACACATAAAGAAACAAATTGTAGTTGTGTAAATGTACATTGTTCTTCTGAATATGCAATAGTGGATATAGAAATTTTGGAATGAGATAAAATGTATTTCTTTAGATGCTAAAACACCACCATCAGATATGTTTTTGCTTAGATTTGCTGTTTTAGCACATTATGAATTTGCAACCCTTGGCTACTAGTAGATTAATATGAAGTATCAATTAGTTGTTATTTCAGATGGCTGGGCAGAGAAACTATGGGAAGCGTTCTCATTCTCAGTCTGACTTTGGTGATAATGGAAGAAACAAAAGAAGAAATTCTGGAACTGATAAAGATCTTTTCTCTATTGGGCCGGATGACACCGTGTACCGCTACTTGTGCCCTGGAAAGAAGATTGGAAGTATTATAGGAAGGGGAGGGGAAATTGTTAAGCAATTAAGAGTGGAAACTAAATCGAAGATTAGAATTGGCGAGTCAGTACCTGGATGTGAAGATCGCGTTGTCACTATATATAGTACTAGCGAGGAAACAAATGATTTTGATGATAGTGATGATCGTGTTTGTCCTTCTCAAGATGCACTTTTCAAGGTGCATGATAGAATTGTTGCTGAGGACGTTTCAGTTGATGAGGACTCTGAAGAAGCTCCACAAGTTACTGCTCGGCTTCTAGTGCCTTCTGATCAGATTGGATGCATCATTGGGAAAGGTGGGCAGATAGTTCAGAATATTCGTAGTGAAACTGGAGCTCAGGTTCGCATTCTCAAGGATGACCATTTGCCTGCGTGTGCATTGGGCTCGGATGAACTTGTGCAGGTATTGTTGATTCATATGTTTTAATCTTCTCCGCTATCCCTTATTCCCTGGCTCACTAAAGTTCTATTATCCATATTCGGTTGCGCGCTGAAAGTTTCTGTTTAATGTAATGTTCTCTTTTATACGAGTGTTTTGCAGATGTAATTTCTCTGAACATTTACATTCTTATTCTTCTTTTCTTCATGCCTTTTCATTTGTTTTGATCTTTAATAATCCAATCTTATTTCTTACCAAGCGAGTCACAGTTTAAAAGATAATACATGTGACAAAATAGCACTTTACTATTCCTAGTTTTTTTTTTTGCCGGGATGTTCTTTCCAGTTTTTTATTATTATTTAGATTTAAGTATGGGACTGACCAAATATCTACTTTGAGTTGAGCAAGTCTCCAAGCCTATTAATATGCTAGTTTTATTTATTTGTGAGGTTTCAGATATCTGGTGAAGGCTCTCTAGTTAAGAAAGCTCTTTATCAGATTGCATCTCGTCTTCATGACAATCCTTCTCGATCTCAGCATTTGCTGGCTTCTTCTGCCCCCAGTGTCTACCCTACTGGTGGTTCACTTATTGGGGGTCCTGCTGGTGCTTCCATTATGGGATTGACTCCACTAGTCGGGCCTTATGGAGAATATAAAGGAGAGAGTGGAGATTGGTCACGTTCTCTCTACTCGGCTCCAAGGAATGAAGCATCTTCAAAGGAATTCTCACTTCGTTTGATTTGTCCAACTGTTAACATTGGAGGTGTTATCGGCAAGGGTGGAGTGATAATAAATCAAATCAGACAAGAATCTAGGGCATCTATCAAAGTTGATAGTTCTGCTGCAGAGGGAGATGATTGTGTAATATCTATTTCTGCGAAAGAGGTAAAGGTTTTGCATAAATTATGTTAAGCCCTGTTTGATGCCCATTAAAAAGAGATTTTGGGGGGAAATGAATTTTGGAATAGTAGTTTTTTGGAGAACATGTGACTAAAACGTAAAGAAAGTTTTAGGTTTATGTGCAAAATATTTTATTGTGAGAATGTGTGGTTGAAAATAAGTTTTAGAAAAATAGTTTTGGAGAATGTTGTCAAACAGAGGCTAAAAGTTGATGACTTTGTATGTACACATTCTCAGTTTCTTCTAATTCAAATTCTTTCACTGTATTTGCAATTAGTATTTTGAAGATACATTCTCTCCAACGATCGAAGCAGCACTGCGCTTGCAGCCTAGATGCAGCGACAAAATTGAAAGAGATTCAGGTCTTATTTCATTCACTACAAGGTTACTTGTTCCAACCTCTCGGATTGGTTGCCTTATTGGCAAAGGAGGTTCAATTATTTCAGAAATGAGGAAAATTACTAAAGCTAATATTCGCATACTGTCAAAGGAAAACCTTCCTAAGGTGGCTTCTGAAGATGATGAGATGGTGCAGGTAAAGATATAAATATGGCAGTGAATGTGTACTAATATGATTTTCACACGTGAGAATATTAAGGTGTAGGTAAATATGCATAAAAACTTTGCTAGCTGCGTGGTTGTGATAGAGCTTTTTTAAGCTCTCTTTTTTTTTTTTTTTTTTTTTTTTTTTTTTTTTTTTTTTTTTTTTTTTTGGGAGACATTTTTTTTTTTTTTTTTTTTTTCTTTTTTTTTTTTTTTTTTTTTTTTTTTGGGAGACATTTTTTTTTTTTTTTTTTTTTTCTTTTTTTTTTTTTTTTTTTTTTTTTTTGGGAGACATTTTTTTTTTTTTTTTTTTTTTCTTTTTTTTTTTTTTTTTTTTTTTTTTTGGGAGACATTTTTTTTTTTTTTTTTTTTTTCTTTTTTTTTTTTTTTTTTTTTTTTTTTGGGAGACATTTTTTTTTTTTTTTTTTTTTTCTTTTTTTTTTTTTTTTTTTTTTTTTTTTTTTTTTTTTTTTTTTTTTTTTTTTTTATTGAGGTTTGAGCAGCAATTTTTAAGTTTTATACTTGCTCATCCTTTTTCAGTATCTAAATTTAAACGATAGATGGAAGGTTAAAAGAGAAACCATGCCATTTTGTAACACCTAAACCATGCAGTACATCAGTACCTAATTCTGTTTTTCTTAAAATAAAATATTTATCAGATTTCTGGAGACCTTGAAATTGCAAAGGATGCTCTTACGCAAGTAACTTCACGCTTGAGGGCAAATCTTTTTGAGAAGGAGGGTGCTATGTCAGCCTTTGTTCCTGTACTTCCATACCTTCCAGTGTCGGCAGATGGTTCAGAGAGTTTAAAATATGAACACAGAGATGCTAAGAACCGTGGCCATGGGTATTCCTATTCTGGTGGATATGATGGCTCTCCTGAATTGCCACGTGTTGAAGCTTATGGAAGTTATAGTGGTCTTCAGGTAAAGTTTGTGCATATTCTATTTTGATTAATTTTGAGGGGAAAAAAGAGAGAAATGGAGGAAAAAACTTGTTATACTTTCTACTTTGTCCATGGGGTAATTATGTTTTCTAAATTATTTGCAGAGTGGGGGTGGCAGCTCTGCTTATGGTGTATATGGAGGTTATTCCTCAGGTCGTTCTGGTGGTTCTGGGTAAGATTCTGTTCTCTGTTGAGGCACTAGACTGATGGCCATATTCTTTATTCTGTCTTATGTCAGGTACAACCAGTATAGTTCCTAAATAATATTCGGATATTATGTTTTCCAAGATTATAAATTTTCTATAAGATGTTAGTCATAGAAATTGAAGTGAATTGACCTTTTAAGCTGTGCCAGACTTCGACAAATACTACATTTTAGGTGCTTCAGATCTTTATTATTGTACTTACCAACTTGGTGTCTCTTTTCTCGACTCAAAACATGGGCATTTTCAAATTGATGTTTTTTTAACTATCCAAATTTATATCCATATATCTTGCCAATATTTGGTATAAACTGATAAGATCTTCCAAGTCCCTGATCGTCAACTTCTTTTCCCAGGTTATCTGGACGTAACCCTGTTTCTAGGGGGAGAAATTATGATTACTAGAGTTCGATAATAAGCATGCAGGTAGACCTTGGTTTCACTTTAAATCCTTATTTTTATTCATTGCTTTCCAAAAAGTTCGTATCGTTTTTTGCTCATAAAAAGTTTAGTCAATTTTATGTGATAACGTTCCTGTCTTCCCTTTATGACTGATGCTCTTCTTTTCCCTTTGTTTCCTTTCCCTTCCCAACAAAACAGCTGAGACATCTGAAGCCTGAAGTCAGCCTTGTTTCTTTTGGTGAAGCCTCCTGCCTAAACCAGAAGACCAGATGAACCAGGGTTTGGAAAACCGACTGTCTACCTTGATGCTTTTCTTTAGGAGGACCAATATCTGAAGATCTTACCTATCAAATTGCCATGTCCCGAGACCATATGATACCAAGCTTAATAAATAGTGCTCCCAAGAACCTGTGTAGCCAGCTATCTTTATCCATTTTACTTCCTCTAACAGCTGTTATGACATTACGTTTAGTTCTCAGCTGTGTCTTTAGGATTTATGGTTGTTTGTCTTGTTTAAAAATTAACGCCACTTGAAGAATTCTAGTTGGTGAAATATTTGCTAAATTTGCGATGTATCACTGATTTTGTTGGAACACATCTATTAGTATCATGGAAATTTCTTTCGTAGTTTCCTGGTGAGCTATGCTCCTAAATTCTATCATTTAGCTCCCATGCATATTGAATATTTTCAATCCTGCAATTGGAATATGTAGGGTGTTATGTAGTTCAGAAGATTTTATGCATAACTGCTAACTTCTTTTCTTACTTTTTCATACTGTAAAAATCTATATCACTGTGGTTATGCATGTTTTGGTCAATATTCTTTTCAAGATTTTGTAGTTTATCATGCACGGAATGAGGAGCTTGCCACTGTAGCAGTTAGAGGGAAGATGCAGCTCCGAGGACAGGACTGATCCTGGTTTTTGAAAATCACTGAAAAATCTGGCAGCAACTGTAATTTACTTCAGGCTATGTCTTGTAATTTTCTTCTGCAAGACATTGATTTAGTACAATGGAATTAATTAACATTAATGTTTGAATTGCAGCAGGCTTATGGAACATGCGTTTTTTACAAACAACAGGTAATATTCTAACTCCCAGTGTATCAGATAAATCTTGTAGCCAAAAACAATTTTCAGGGCGCAATCTATGCATCTGATGGTGGTAAGGTTAAAATGCTTGATATCACATGCTGACAGATTTCCCTCCCTTTCCACGTACAAGTATGATACTGATTTAACTGTTATTTGTTTCTTTATATCATTTTGTGCTCTACTTTGAGACGTCTGAAAGTTCAGTTGTGCACTCCGTGCATTCTCTCACCAAACAGCTAAACTGTGTTGAAAGCTTGAAAGTCACGTTTGAGCTGTGTCAGATTCTTTTGTTTTAGTTTATAATGCTCATTCCGAACTTCACGACTTCTACTGCAGATGCAGCCAATGAAAGATTGCATTAGATTTGTGTCTTATATCACTACTTTACATCGTCTTTCATTCAATGCACAATTCTATTCTATTTGTACTGGATGTTCTAATGGCTAGAAACGAGATTTGTCTAAATACTGATTCTGATTCAATCTCGAATTCTTGTAATCTAGACTTGCCTAATTTTCTATATAGCTTTTTAGCAATTATGGATGTGTTATGTGGTTGATGGATAAACAGTGCCCTGTTGTTGTAGAGTCCCTGCACAAGGCTGGACAAAGACTAGAACGTGATGGAACATTTGTTGGTAGTTGGTATGGTGGATTGGATTCTACATAATAGGATTAAAGGATAAAAAGAATTTAAGATTTTCTTTTTGATAATAGTTTGTATCGGCCCTTTTTGGATGTGCTCAGAATCATGGGTCGGAACCTTGGAGGTTTTATACGGTATGGAGTTTGCAGTTTGTTAATTGGGATGCCTTTCATATAGATTGGTAAAAATAATACCATAGAAGTTGAATCAGAAACTAACCAGTTGGCAGTTGTAGGCTACTGTGAAAATGTTTTCGATAAATATTCCAGTTTAACAGCTTCGATAATGTCTCCTATGCTTGAAAGGTGGATCTTCTCCATTGTATTTAAAGTCCTCTACCAGCTTCAAAAGAGGAAAGGCCTGTGATGTAAAAGACAGGAGTGATGTAGTTTTAGTCTTGATGGCAGTTGTAGTGTGAGAGTTCGATTTCTGAGATATGGAATTAAACTCTTTGTGGGTGTCAGTGTACGGGCAAACTCTTGTTTCCTGGCCTGTTGGGGGCACATCCAGCAATTTGTTTTCCTCACGATGTTTGAGGGGCGGAGCGGTGGGGGGTTTTTAAGATTGGGTTTCGAACTTTAAAAAATGCTTTGTGATGTTGCAAGAACTTAAATGCGGTTAGCTGTACAAGAATAAATGAGAATGCACTTGGACAATGCTACTTTCTATATCAAGAACTGGCAACATAGAGACCTATCCTTAAAATGTGAGTATTGCAACCCATTATTATTTTGTTCCAATGACCAAGTAGAAACGTATGAGAGTAGAAATATGAGTTTTTCAATACACAGGCTGTTATGATTAAAATCTTGAGAGAGTTGCCTTGTACAATTAGCCTTGGTCAGGATTTAGCGTTGCTTTAACACTGAATCTAGCTGCATTGCAGTATGATGCAACGGCTATTATTGCTCATGAGAACTAATGGAGACAGTCACTTGTTGGTGATAGGTTCAATGAAAGGTAAAATTAAATGATTCATTTAATTTTGCTTCTTATTTAGTGGCATTTAGATCGATATTTTAATACTAATGGTACTAATTAGCATTAAAACATTTTTAAGACTCTTTAAATATGAGATTCTCTTTATTTTAAGAGTCAACCTTTAAAGTTAGGCTTCAATAGATTTTTTAAATTAATGTTTTAAATTAAAATGGAGAGTCAAACTCATTTTTTATAATTAAATGTATTTAAAGATTTCAATTTTTAATGTAAGAAAATAATAAAATAATATAAACAAAAGTTGGATAAAATAAAAGATAGGGAAAAAAATAATAAATATTTTCGGGGCATGATAAAATTAAGTGTTAAATATAAAGAGCTTGTTGGAGTACTTGAAAATTTTAACTCTAAATTTATGGATGTTTTTTAAATGATAAAATATGCTCTTTAAAAAAGAGAAAAGAAGTTGCTTCTTTCAATCTCTTAAGCAAAGCGAAACGTTCTTTTATTTTAGAGTGAAAAGAAGGGATGAAAGATGAATACCAAAAAATTAGAACAAGCAACTCCAATGTGTTATGGTGTGGGGTAGGGTTGGGAACGGAGCAGGCTCCGGGTAGGGCATTTTCCAGCCTTGTACCCATTTTTAGGCTGGTAGGATGGGACGGTTGCCCCGTTCATGTATCAATTTAATTTTTTTTTAATAATTTTGATAATTCATTTTATTATTCATATTCATTCGAGACAATAATAAAGTTATTAAAATTTTTAATTAATTAATTTATTTTTAAAAGTTAAATTATTCGTATATGTTTAATAAATTATTGTTTTTATTGTTTATTATATTCTTTAGATAATTTTAACTGCTATATTTTATTAGAATTAAAGAAAATTTTTGATGTTTTTTCATTTAAAGTATTAAATTCTTTAAAAAAAAAATTAAATGGGGGTGGGGCTCTCAGTTACCCATACCCACCTTGGGCTGGGGAATACCCAATCAAAAGTAGGCAATTCAAGCCTCGTTCGGGTTGAGGCTTGTGGGTCTCTAGTTTGACGGGTATTTTTGCCATCTTTAGCATGGGGCATATCTAAGCATGGGAATAAGCGAAAAGCGTGATTATTATACCGAAACTCCTCGTTCCAATCAACTCTCTCTCTCTCTCTCTCTGTGGAAAAAAATTGATCACAAGATTGGCCTGCTTGGTGTTTTGGAGGAGAAATAATATCAAGAAATAAAGAAAAAGTGAACTTGACTTTTATGACATTAATAGTGGAAATATATTGTGTTTGAACCATATTATTTTGAAAGAATGTATTTTAAAATAGTAGATTGATAAAGAATATGTAGTTAAAAAATAAGGAAAAGTTTTGAATTTGCATATAATATTATTTTTATTGAAGAATGTGTGGTGGAAATGATGCCAAATCACTGTTAAAGAATGTATTTTTGTGAATGAATGCAGCTCAAACATGGCTTGATTTCTTTTGTAATAATTAAAACTGTTTTCCATTTTTCAAAAGAGCATGCCATTACTCTATTCTTGGTCAATGGTCCTTTGCACCTCCACGAGAATGAATCTTGCTATATGTGCATTAAAATTTACATAATTGATTACATAATATCACATTGCAATCTACCACTTGTCATTTGAAATACTATCAATTTTTTCATCTAATCTTTTTCCTCAACATCATACTGTGTAATTCATTATGTACATTTTGTTTTGTACAAGTAGCAAATTTTCCAGGAGAATGCAACATGCATATGCAAGATGAGATGGAGTCAATTTTAATTTGCCATTATTCTAGATATGGAGTTAATGTCCATTCGAGTAAGAGAGTTAGGGTATACTTTTTCGAGCAGGATGAATTAATGGATAAAACTATGTCACTAATAATGCAATCAACCCGATATATTTGTGTTTGTGGCAACTTGAAAATCACACCATAATAAGATTTCAACATTGAAATTTGAATTCTATGCTAACGAGAATGAATAGAGAATGTTCAATGACTGGGAAGTTGACTAGAATGTTCAGACCCGAGTTGCCTTGATCTTTGTTTGGCTAGGTAGCGAAGATCTTGTCTGCGTAAGATAGGTCCACAAGCTATACTGAATATTTCTCCTTCTTTAAATTGAAATATATTATCTTTTATTATGAAAGAGAGAAAAGAGAAAAAAAATAGAGAGAAGTCAATAAATTTATGTATATTTTATTGAGAGCTATAAAAAATAAGGGATACAACAGTAATAATTTTGAGGCTCGTAGGTATACAATTGTTATTCAATGATAAACTTACCATTACAAAAATCTATCGCTTTAAAACCCTGTTTGATAAAAATTAAATGGGATAAAAAATCAAACAAAGGAAAATGAGTACAGTTATTTTTGGAGTATTAAAAATAAGTGCTGCCTCATTAAAACATTGTTAGGAAAATCCAATTGAATAAAATATAAGCGAAAGAAAAAGAATATAATTATTTTCCCTGATGTTGATCATTGAAAATTTTTGAGCTCACAATTTTAATCTTATGAGCCAATTTTTTGAATGTGGATGTTGGTAATACTTTTGTCAATAAATCGGTCACATTGCCATTTGAACAAATTTGTTGGACATTGATTTCACAATTCTTTTGAAGCTCATGTGTATAAAAGGATTTTAGAGAAATATGATTTGACTTGTTACCTTTGATATATCTCCTTTCAGGTGCGCAATATAATATGTATTGTTTTCATACAAAATTGTTGAACTATCTTTTGTGAAGTTAACTCCCATGGTGTTTGGATATGATGAGTCATATTCTTCAACGGTAGACATTTTCAGCCTTCTTCATGGGTTGCAAAAATTCAGAACGATTTGAGGATGTTGCAGTCAATAATTGATTCATAGATCTTCATGATATAGCTATTCTTCCACGTATAAACACATATTTTGTTTGTGATTTAACTTTATACGGGTCAGAAAAAGAACTAGCATTTGCATACCGCACTAAATCGGATTCCAATTTTTGAGAATATATAATCGCAAATAAATAGTGCCTTTTATGTAACAAATAATATGTTTAGCACCATTCCAATATCTTTAAAATGGTGTATAGATATATTTTGCAAGGAGATTTACAGAAAAAGTTATCTTGTGTCGAGTGCAGCTGCAAAATAAGTTAATGTTTCAATTGTACCAAGATATGGTAATTCAGGGTCAAGAACTTTTTCTCCGTCTTGAAGTGGACAAAATGAATCATTTTTTTACATCAAATGATTGAACAACCATAGATGATGCTGATGGATGTATATCATTAATATAGAAACGTTTTAAAACTTTTACTGTATATATAGATTGATGAACAAATAATTCTTTTGAAAAGTGTTCCATCTGAAATTCAAGACAAAATTTTATTTTTCCCAAATATTTCATCTTAAATTCATTTTTCAAATGATCTACAGTTTTGTTGAGCTCTTCAGAAATTCTAGTTAAATTTAAATTATGAACATAAACTGTCATAATTGCAAATTCACATTATCATTTTTATAAAACTCTTTCAACAAATATTCGCTATGGTGATTATAACAAACGTGTTCGGATTGTTTCAATTCATATAATGATATTTGTAATTTAATTGAGAACATGATTCTCAGGTATGTATCATTTGTTGTTGGCACTTTGAGTCCTTCTGGACTTTTATATATATATGTACTATCAAGTGAATCATATAAATAGTAGTTACTATATCTATAACGCGTATATCGAGTTTTTGTGAGAGTTAAACTAATTAAGAATCTAAAAGTGATGGCGTCCATTATGGAGAATATGTTTCCTCATAATCAATTCCAAGTTTTTATGAGAAACTTTGAGCTACAAGTTGAGCTTTATATATTGTAATTTCATTATTTTCAATTTCTTTTGTATAAAAATCCATTTATATCGAATATAGATTACATTTTCAAGTGTTCGAACTACATGTCCAAACACTTTTTGTTTCTCTAAGGAATTCAATTCTTTTGTATAGCCTCTTTTCATCTTGGCAATCATTTTTGTTTTGATAATCTTTAACAGACTGTGGTTTAGAGTCCTTATTTTGCATCATATCAGAAGTCACGTTGAAGGCAAAAATATTATTTATGACAACATTATTCAATTCATATAATTTATGAGATAATATATAATTTATTGAAATATCATTATTTTCGAAAACTTGTGGTTCTTTAGGAATCATATTTTTAATATTTGATTGATCAATATTTCTAATGTTACTTCTTCCGAAGGTTTTTTGTTGATTTTTTTCTTGTACTTTTCTTTTGAGGTACATAATCTTTTAAACCAATTGATCGATCACGCTTCTAACGTATTTGAGATTCATTTGCTATATTAGATAGTCCTACAGGGGTATTAATTTTGCTGGAATATTTTCTATTGGAATA